AGACCCCAGAAAGGTGATGCTGCTTAAGTTTTTATAGAGTAAATCAGCTGTTTAACAAATGACTTAATTCATTTCTTAGGGCTGGTATTTGATTTAACTTAAAATATTGATTTGTTGTTTTTTTTTTTCAATTAAATAAATAAACTGGACTAATGTGGAACTTGCTTTGATTTTAGCGTGCTCCTGAGTGCTGTGAGTGGAGAGGACACTCAGGATCGTACTGATCGCCTGCTCCTCACTCCGTGGGTGAAGTTCTTGTGGGAGTCCTACCGCCAGTGCCTTGACCTGCTGAGAAACAACTCCAAGGTGGAGCGTCTATACCATGACATTGCACAGCAAGGTAGGGACATGCATCAAATTACTTTTTAAATACTGTCTGTTTTCATGATGTCATGTTATAGTCCTAAGTCAATATTCCAGGCTGCTTACTACCATCTTAATATAAAGTTTTTGTATTTTTAATTGATTTCTGTATATGGATGTTAATTAACACCAATGCATGTATAGGATGTTTTATAAAACAAAAATCTTTCCCAATGAAGTCATTTAATTATTATTCAGAAATGTATTTCAAGTCTGTTTGCTGTGAGTCTAGGATTAGCTAATTCTCAAGGTATTACAGTAGTTACGCAAAGCAATGTGATGTAATAAGATATAATGTAACAGATTAAATTAATTGTTAAAGTGAACAGTTATTGTTGTTGTTACTAGTAATATTAAATAACTGAATAGTTTTGTAACTGCAAACATTTTTACAGTTAAAACCTTTAAGTACGAGGCTCTAAATTCTCTATCTTCCTACCTTCCCTGCAGCATTCAAGTTTTGCCTTCAGTACACCCGCAAGGCAGAATTTCGTAAGCTCTGTGACAACCTGCGCATGCATCTGGGTCAGATCCAGCGGCATCACAACCAGAGCACTGCCATCAATCTGAACAACCCTGAAAGTCAGTCCATGCACCTGGAGACACGTCTGGTGCAGCTGGACAGCGCCATAAGCATGGAGCTGTGGCAGGTTAGTCTACCTAACACTCTTCAACAACTACACAAGCATTTTCAGATCGGTTGCCTCCACTGTTGTGGGATGCTGTAATGTACAGCTGGCAATGTATAATATTATAGTAGCTTTGAAACATGGTGAATGTAAAATTAATGTTACTAATGCAATTATTCTTTTTCCTCTCAGGAAGCATTCAAGGCTGTTGAGGACATCCACGGCCTGTTTGCTCTTTCCAAGAAGCCTCCCAAACCACAGCTGATGGCCAACTACTACAACAAGGTGTCTACTGTATTCTGGAAATCTGGAAACGCTCTCTTCCATGCCTGCACACTTCACCGGCTCTATCATCTGTCCAGGGAGATGCGAAAGAATCTGACCCAAGAGGAGATGCAGCGGTATTCCATTAATTCCTTGTGGAAAAATGCACCAGTGTTTGTTTGTTTGATTGTTTTAAATTTGATCATGACCAAATATGTATTAAAATTTACTTTTAATTTTCAGGATGTCTACCCGAGTCCTCCTGGCTACGCTGTCTATTCCCATCACCCCTGAGCGTACTGATATTGCTCGCTTGCTGGACATGGATGGCATCATTGTTGAGAAACACCGAAGGCTAGCTACCCTCCTGGCCCTGCAGTCTCCACCAACCCGCCAAAGTCTCATTAACGATATGGTACATTATGCGCTCAAGAAGAGAGAAATTTTCACACCCTTTTAAGAATATAATGTTTTTATCTGTTCTTTAATTTGTTTTTAATTTTTTGTCAAATGTATGATTTTTGTGTTTTAGGTGAGATTTAACTTGCTGCAGTATGTTGTACCTGATGTGAAAGAACTTTACAACTGGCTTGAGGTCGACTTTCATCCTCTGAAGCTGAGCGGGAGAGTGACCAAGGTAAACTGTCCAGCTTCATGTGGCAGCAGCAAACGTAATCATTACAAGGAGCTGTCGTTCAGTTCATTTTCTTACATACAGCTGGAAGTTTATTCATTTAATTAACATTTGTTGTTGCTACTCTTCTAGGTGTTAAACTGGGTGAGAGATCAGGCTGAGAAGGAACCTGATCTTCAGCAGTATGTCCCACATCTGCAGAGTAACACCATCCTGAGGCTCTTGCAACAGGTAATCCTCTCTCTCTCTCTTCTGGTTAATCTTTTTTTTCTAAATCACTTCAACCCTGAAATGGGTGTAATTGTCTTCATTTTTAAAATTTTAGGTTGCACAGATCTATCAAAGCATCGAGTTCAGTCGTCTGGCCTCTTTGGTTCCATTTGTGGACGCCTTCCAGCTGGAGCGCTCCATTGTAGATGCTGCACGGCATTGTGATCTGCAGGTAAGATTCACATTGGTAGAGATGATGTCGTTTTTTACACACTAACATTACTGATGGTCCAGAAACAGGGATGTGAGCTATTACTGAAGTAACATGCTGCGTTTTTGTAGATTATCTAACATTTCTTTTTGTCTTGTAGGTCAGAATAGACCACACCTCTAAAACTCTGAGCTTCGGCTCTGATCTGAACTACTCGACCAAAGAGGATGCTCCTGTTGGACCTTTCCTGCAGAACATGCCGTCAGAGCAGATAAGGAACCAGCTCACTGCCATGTCTGCATCTTTGGCTAAAGCCATACAGGTCATCAAGCCTGCCTCCATCCTGGTGAGTTCAACCTCTAACTGATACACAGTGACCAGAGGCACCTAATATACAGCGCTCTCTTCCCCCCCCCCCCCCCCAACCCTTATTAATGTACATACAGTGACTGTATTTTTCATGTTATATTTAAAACATTACTGATGTTATGCCTTTGTTTGAATTCAAGTGCATCTTATTTATTTATTTTATTTATTCTTTCTCAGCAAGAGCGAGAGGAGCATAACCAACAGGCCATTGCTGCCTACCTGAAAAATGCCCGCAAGGATCACCAGCGCATCCTGGCTCGTAGACAGACCATCGAAGAGCGTAAGGAGCGTCTGGAGAGCTTAAACATTCAGCGTGAGAAGGAGGAGCTAGAACAGCGGGAGGCTGAGATGCAGAAGGTTCGCAAAGCAGAGGAGGAGCGTCTGCGGCAGGAGGCCAAAGAAAGGGAGAAGGAGCGCATCATGGAGGAGCACAAGCAGATCAAGAAGAAGAATGCCCGTGAGCGCTTGGAGCAGATCAAGAAGACTGAACTTGGAGCAAAGGCTTTCAAGGATATCGACATTGAGGTGATGAAATGTAGCCATAATCAACTTGATCTGGGTAAATTTCACATGGATTACATTTTTAATGTAGATCTAACAAACTGGTTTTGTTGCAGGACCTGGAAGAACTGGACCCTGACTTCATCATGGCTAAACAGGTGGAGCAGCTGGAGAAGGAGAAGAAGGAACTTCAGGAGCGTCTGAAGAACCAGGAGAAAAAGGTAATGGTATTAAATCAGTAAAAGTATTGATAACTTAAATATGTACTGGGCCCTAAGTTTAATTTCTCTTCAGATTGACTATTTTGAGAGGGCAAAGCGTCTTGAGGAGATTCCCCTGATCAAAAAAGCTTATGAGGAGCAGCGTGTCAAGGATATGGAACTGTGGGAGCTCCAGGAGGAGGAGAGGGTAAGTGGGCAGGAAAAAAGCGCTTTACATAAAGAGATAAAAACAAATGTAAAAAATCTGAGCATCTGCAATGTAACAAGTTGTTCTTCTCTTTATGTAGATTAGTACCATGAAAGTTGAACGGGAGAAGGCTCTGGAGCACAAGAAGCGCATGTCCAGGATGATGGAGGACAAAGAGAACTTCCTGTCCAAAATAACAGCTGCTCGTAGCTTCATTTATGAGGTAAGACTCCTTAGTCAATCTCTGAGCATTAGCTGACTATGAGGACTGAAGCACTGCTTTCAGCTTCACTTCTGTGCCTTTTAAAGGAAAAACTGAAGGCTTTCCAAGAGCGCTTGATAGAGGAAAGGAAGAAGCGCCTGGAAGACAGAAAGAGACAGCGCAAAGAGGACAGGCGTAATGCTTTCTACCGGGAAAAAGAAGAAGAGGCACAGCGTATTCATGAGGAGCAGCTCAAGAAAGGTTTGTACAATTTTTCCAGTCGTGATCCAATCTGTCCTCGTAAAGTTAGGACAGGAGCTCATATTCCACAGAGAACCAGGAAGGATTTTTTTTTTTTTTAAAATAGAGCGTGAAGAGCGTGAACGCCTGGAACAAGAGCAGCGAGAGGAGGAGGAGAGGGAGTACCAGGAGCGTCTACGAAAGCTTGAGGAGCAAGAGCGGAAGCAGCGTCTTCGTCAGCAGGAGATTGAGGAGCGAGAACGACGCCGTGAGGAGGAGAGAAGGGTCCCACAGGAGGAGAAGCCAAAGGTTTGGATGTGTTTTTTAATAAGTTGCTTTTGCTTACCCCAAGATGGCTGGGATGGGCTGTGTAAGGATAATATGGTCTACAGGACTTTGAGTGATCTTGAAGTATCATGTGATTCTGTTAAAAGGAGGAGGGAGGATGGAGACGACGCACAGAGGGTGGGGATTCAGAGTGGCGTCGTCCTGCACCAGACAGGTGTGTGTCACTAACACTTAGTTCCTGCTTTTCTTCTTGTAATGCCGACTCAGCTAGGAATGGCTTCTCTAACAACAACTGTGTGCTCCCTAGGACTTGGAGACAGGACGATGACAAGGAGGAGAAAGAGTTACCTTTCAGACGAGATGGTCCTCGTAGAAGCGGAGAGGACAGAGGTCCCCGTAGGGTCTTTGACGATGAAAGAGGCCCACGCCGTGCTGACGATGAAGACCGCCCTGTTCGCAGAGGGTTGGATGATGACCGTGGTCCACGCAGAGGTTTCGACGATGATCGTGGTCCAAGGCGTGGTGGAGATGAAGACCGTGGTCCTAGACGTGGCTTTGATGATGACAGAGGTCCTCGTAGAGTCATGGATGACTCCAGGGGACCCAGGCGTGGAGCTGATGACGACTGGGGCCCCAGAAGAGGAGATGATGACCGAGTTGGAAGGAGAGGTATGGATGATGGGCCACGTCGTGGTGGTGATGACGCCAAACCCTGGAAACCACTGGGCCGACCTGGTAAGTCTGTAGCCAATTGGCTATCAGTAAATAATAGAAAAGTCTTGTTATCCAACAGCCAGGCAGCTGGTCTGTGCCTAAATGTCAAGTCTTAATAAAATGATGATAATGAACGCCTCTGATATAGGGGGCTGGCGTGAGCGAGAGAAGGCCAGAGAGGAGAGCTGGGGACCTCCCCGGGGTGGCCCCCATGATGATGGAGAGGATGGTGAAGGAGATGAAAGATCCAGCGACCGCAACAGAGACCGTCGTCCAAACAGGTGGGGCTAATAGATCTATGCCTGTATGCTGAGTTATTCGTAGCACCGCGGAGGATGTGACAATTTGCTTTTCAGGTAGTTGTTGGCAGAGTTTCTAATTGGTGTCACTGTGCGTTCACAGAGAGGATGGTATCTGGAGAAGAGGAGGTACTGATGAGGGAAGCAGCTGGAGAGAATCTCGCAGAGAGGAGGCAGACCGCGACGATCGACGTGATCGAGACGATCGACGTGATCGAGACGATCGACGTGACCGTGACGATCGCCGTGACCGCGATGATCGCCGCAATAGAGACCCTCGTGATAGAGAGCGCCGTGATGATCGTGACAACAGAGGCCCACCCAGAGATCCTGATGATGGTGAGCAGAGCATGTTTTAGACTTGCTTTCAGTGTCTTTGCTGGGTTTGATCTCATTAAGTGTGATCTAAGTAATTTATTTTATGCACAAATGGTAACTTTGTTTCAGAAAATTGCTATATGAAATGTAAATAAAAAATTAAAAAACTGCAGAGATTTACCAATAATTTAAGCTCTGCTTTTATTAATAATAATCCAATATCAAGCTTGAATGGAGAACATTTTGATTCCAAAACTAGTATGGTTTGTTCCCAAACACTTTTGTTGTTAAGAGATTGTAAAAGAAAACTGATGTGCACAACATCACCATGGTTTTTATCTTGCTGAAATCAAATAAAAAGTAATCACAGTTGAGAGAGATTTAAAACACTGTAGACGCTGGTGTCCCTGATCCAACTCACCCTCCTCAATCCACTGAGCTCATCTTCTGACTGTCAACAATTTCAACGTGAAGATAACTTATTCAGCCAGCAGAGGGCACTGCATACCCATTTAATACATGCTCTGCTACATAAGCTTTTTTTTTTTATTATTTTAAAAGAAATCATCCACTTTGGACACACAAATCTTTCAAAGTTAAAACAAAAACTTCCGTTGCTGGAATATTTTCTACGAAACATCTTTGTTCCCCACAGGTGGTTCTTGGCGCCGTGGAGGTGAGGATAAACGTGAGGAGCGCGACAGGGACCGAAACAGAGAACCGGGACGGGACCGTGATCGTGACACTGATGGAGAGAAGGGCTGGCGTACTGACAAAGAAAACCTTCGGCGCACCAAAAACGAGACAGATGATGATGGCTGGACCACCGTTCGCCGCTGAACCTCAGCTCATGCCTCAATCAATAAAAAATGATTTAAAATAATAATAATTATAATAATCATAAATACCACATTACTCTGTTGGCCACAGTGTTTCATTGGTGGCCAAAAAATACCTTTGATTTGAGTATTTGTAGAATGTAGTTTCCTGGGAAGTGATTTTGTTTTATTTTTATTTTGACCTGCAGTTTTGAACCAGAAACTCCTCACCTTCTAAACACCGTTAACCAATGAACTTGTGTTCACTTAGGTTTCAGTGAAGCATTACTGTAACCCCCAGTGGTTGGAAATGTTCTTACCTTAGTGAAGTTAATCCGACCTACATGCAAACCAGTGAACCTGCTACAATATTCAATGCAAACTCAGTGTACCACCAACTGCCTCTTTTATTGACTGTACCTTGCATAGATGTTATGGCACAGATCTACAACTCTTCTAATGGCTGATGGTGACTAGGAATCTTGTCACCTGCTTCAGTTATTTCAGCTCTTCCATCTAATATGAGATGCTTTTTAACCTGTTAAAGAACTAGTGGAATTTACATTTTGTGCATGCATAGAGTATTGAAATGGTCTGGCTTCATATCCAGTGTGTGCTTCTATCTTGCTGCAATCAATGGTATCACACCAGGTTGCATGTGTACAGATAAAGCCTTTATTAATAAAGACAATGCTCACCAGGGATATGTTCTTTTTGTCTTCAATGTGATATTAAAAAAATGTTAGAGCATGCTGTCCTCAGCTTCGCCTAGTTTAGATCAATAAAGCCACAGATAATCTTATGAACATACATTTTAGAAATAAAGCCTGCATTTTAATACTTAATTTAAATGAGTAAAGCAACTATGTTGATACTTGCACATGATGAAGCTTTTCGTTTAGATTTTGGTTTCTGGTTTCTAAATTAATCCCACATCACTGCAGTATCACTGCTAATGTATAAACAACAACACATGGTGCATCTTAATCCAGAACTTCTTGGCTACCTTGAGGCTGAAACTGAAACATGTATGCCCAAATATTTAGGAGCGGTCAGACTGCTGGCCTGGCAAACAAGATAACAATAATTCAAAACTGCTTGTGGAGGCTACAACCGCACGACGCTGGCGATCGGAACTTTGTAAAGCCTTTCTTTCTGTAACCACTAGAGGTCGGTAAAACACCAGAAAGAAGACGCGTTACATCTGAAAACGGGAAACGTGTTGGTTCATGCCTAAGATCATCAGTTAACTGAGGGTATAAAACTCAGGAAAAATATAAACAAGCAGAAGGTGGTCAGAAAGGAGGCAATTACAAAACCAGTAACATGCTGCTGGAGCTGTAAAGTAAGAAAACACCGTCAGCAGGGCGGGAGTTTGTTGTCCTAACAACAAAACTGCGTTGGCATTTTGAATTTGACTCCCCGATTTGAGCTACTATATAATAATAATGATGATGATGATAAAAGTAATAGTTATAATAATAATAATAATAGTAATAATAATAGGCTGATATTTAATGCAAACCAAAAGCCTCTATCTGAAATGTATAAGCGAATTGAATAAAAAAAATATCCACCTCTGGGAGAGTCCTCCAGGTATTGAAAATAATAAACTGGAATGTGTTTTTTAACATCTTAAACAAGATGGTTCGTGCGTGTGGTGTATGTGTGTGGGCATGTTGGTGCTCTGATAGCGCTGAGAAGCCCATTCAGTGCTCCAGTATATTTTTATAGGCCACATTTAATTTCAGGGACCCTTAACCGCATAAATGAGAAAAGCCTAAACTCCATGTGAGTAATAATAATAATAATAATAATAATAATAATAATAATAATAATAATAATAATAATAAGTGGAATTATTCTGATTATATGTATTTGGTTGGAAACTTTCCTTGAAACATGTACCAGCTTTACAAGCAGCGGCCAAAAAATTAAAATTAAAATTAATAAAAACAAAAAAAGGCATAAAATGATGAAATAATCTCCAAACATTTGGACGTAGGCTGTCGGTAGGCAATACATCATTTTCTCATTTCGGGGATGCATCAGTTCACTTGTCAGCAGCCTGCGCGGACTCCAAGTGTGTATTATTTCTTTGTGAAGGCCCGCTGTGCGCGGACATGGCTGCAGCTTCGTGCTGCTGCCGTCAGCCGCTGATCTGCATGCAGGAGTGACAGGTCGCACTCGCACAGGTACACTACTCTAATAAACAGCTCTCACCGGCTAACACACAGCGACACATCAGTGTTACTGAACACTGACTGTTTCAGGGTCGTGTCCCACACACTAGATAAAAAAAAAAGCAGAAACACCTCTAAATCTGAGCTTAAGCGCGTCTGCGTCTCCGACAAACCATTCTGCACAAATGTAAGCATGTCAGTGTAGAACTCATACTAATGCTGATCCTAGAATCGGGACAAATGGAAACAAGCAGCAACGAAAAAAAAAGAAATTTCTACAAATGTCCAGTCACAAATAAATAAATAAACAAAAAGAAAACAGAAAAATATGGAAAAATAAATTAAATCCGTCTAATGGCGCAAATAAGCGGCTGCTGAAAAATTCCATTTATTCCATACCATTAGCATCCCAAAAAGAGAGTCAGAGCTGATGTGCTGCCGCCACATTGTTTTTGCATATTTTAAAGTAATCACCTCTAGTAGTAACAGCGCACACACACACTTTAAAAATCTGCCTGAACCTGTCGTAGACACTAAATGCAAATAAGCAGGCTACCTTTTCTACTGGTTAGTTGAATGTGTTAAATGTCCTGGAGATATGTGCGCACGAGTGGATGCATGTGTCTGTGTGTCTACATGTGCGCGTGCGGGCATGTGTGCGTGCACGCGGGGGGCTCTTCTCTGAACGAATCCGTTCCGTGTTGCGCGTTCGAGTCCGCCTCTCCGCGCCCCTGCTTCCCATTGACGCACTTTTTAAGCGTCTTCCCCCTTCTCCACCTTAAGGCGAGCAGCAGCGGCAGCGACCAATCACCATGCCATTACAGCCTTCAGAGGAAGCTGTTTATGGGGCTGCAGCGCTAATTAGGCTCATGAACTAACAAATCTGCCTGCACGAAGCCGGCGAGGAAAACGATCACATCCATGGATTAGTCTGGGAGTAGCCGAGCACTTTTTATTTTTTGGCTTCTTCGACACTGCCCGCCGACCTTTCCCAACTTGTTTACTGCGCAGAAACTTTCCCCTTTTTTTCCTTGGGTGTGGAGTATTTTTCAAGCAAGAGCGCCTACGACAACTTTAACCTAAACTGGGGAATCTGGACTATCAGACCATGTTTCAACCTACACCCAAGAGGTGTTTTACTATAGAGTCTTTAGTGGCGAAGGATAATCCGATACCGGCGTCCCGCTCCGAGGAGCCCATCAGGCCAGCGGCTCTCAGCTATGCAAACTCCGGCCAGATGAACCCATTTCTGAACGGCTTTCACTCCGGCGGCAGGGGCGTCTACTCTAACCCGGACTTGGTTTTTGCCGAGGCGGTCTCTCATCCGCCAAACTCTGCCGTTCCAGTACATCCGGTGGCCCCGCCGCACGCTCTGGCCGCTCACCCGCTTTCATCTTCACACAGTCCGCACCCGCTTTTTGCC